TGGTTCTTCCAAGTAGGAAGGATGTGGGGTGGTAATGAGAGATGTCTGTGTGGTTCAGAGGGAGGTCTTGCTGAGGTCAGAGGGACGAGAGCCAAGAGGAGCCCTTCCCAGGACACTCACAATGACAGAGTGACGAGGGTCAGTAAAGAGTGTCAGGGGGCAAGAGCCCAGGCGTGAACTGAGCCTAATGAGGAGAGCTGACGACCGCAAAGCATCTTTTCATATCATGTTCAGAGCAAGGAGAACAAGGGCTTCATAGATCCATTGCCGTCTAGGGCAGCTGGTGTCTGTGAAGGGGAGGAGGGCACAGCCACACTGTGCCCACAGCGGTCTGGACAGAGGAGGATCTGCAGGTGCAAAGGGCGCAGGCGGGTCCCCGGAGGAAAGCAGGAGCCAGGCAGCGCTGGGCTGCTGTGTGTGCTCAGGGCCCTGACCAGAGAATGCCCTGGCCAGGGCATGGTGTGACCTGGAATGAGATCCCCCATCTGAGGTGCTGTGGGAGAGGCATTGGGGATGAAGCCTGGAGGTGGGTGAGACTCAAATCTGATGTTAACGCTGGGAATGATCCAAGAGTAAGCGGAAGGCTGTGAGTCTGTAGGCAAGGGAGAGACGGACATGAGGGGAAGCCAGACCCATGTCATTTTCCACCTTGAGGGGCTTCAGTCTGGCCCTTGTTCTGTCGGGGTTCTGGAGGACATCCTGTGCCCTGGCCTCTCTGACCTTACTCCATGTGGTGCTGATGCAGCGACAGCAGTGACCCTCGCGGGTCCCGGGTGGGATGAAAGGTCCCCAGATAGTTCCTCATTTTCTCTCCTCCTTTTCTTTCTTGTTACTATTATTATGTCTCCCCTTCCTTTTTTCATCTTCCCTCTCTTTCTCATCATTATGTATTCGTCTTCTCCTTTGCTCTCTCCTCCTCCTCCTCATTCTTCTTACTCAGATCTGGATGTTAGCATTGGAGTGTGAAGCTGGGTGGGGTATCTAAATCAGCAGTTGGCAGTGACCAAATCCACGATGGTCTCTAAAAGCTGGGATGCTGCCCTGAGTTAATCAGGATGACATTTGGCAGGCTGAAGATAAACTGACTTGGATCAAGACCTCATGTGGTTGTTGTGAAAATTAAATAAAATAAGCTGTAGGAGCATCTGTCATGTAGATACTTACGTAGTCAATAAATGATAAGTCTTAATCTTATACCATGAAGCATCCTGACAGCAAATGTTCTGTCCTGCTGTGACACCTTGTGTCCCCATTTTTAGTGCTGAGAAGACGGTTGTCACATCCTAACTCAGGGCATGCTGGACAGTTCTCCTGTTCAGGGCGGCATGGCTGTGGTTGGCAAACTTTGTCTCAGCCATGAAGGCAGCCCAGCGGGGCGCCTGCGGAGGTGGTGCCGGGTGCAGCAGAACCAGAAGGATGACACAGGCAGGCTGCTGTACCTAGGAACAATACTAGCTATACTGGGGAGATGTGTGTGCGTGTGTGTGTGTGTGTGAGAAAAAGAGTGAGCATGAGTTTGCAAGCCCGTGTAAGGGAGTGCATGTGTGTATTTGAGTATGCGTGATTGCATGTGGGTGTGAATGTATATGCATGTGTGTAAATTTGTGTGTGTGTGGGTGACTTTATGTGTCTCTGAGTATATGTATATGTGTGTGTATGTGTGAGTGCATGTGGGTCACTGTGTGTGTGTCTGTATGTGTGAGTGTATGTGTGTGAGTGTGTATGTCTCTCTGTGGGAGCTCATGGAAGCTCAGCAATGGGGCTTCAAGCAGACCAGTTTTTCTTGGAGAAAGGGGGAGAACTGGCTTCATCCAACTAGTCGTACATGTGTAGGTCTGGGATGGACTGGAGAGACAACTTAGCCCGAACCCATTTTACAGATGGAAAGCTGAGGCTCAGAGAGGTTGAGTGCTTTGCTCAGGGTCATTGAGAGGAGTGACGTTTCTGTATCTGCCTCTTTGGGAGACAGTGGCTGAAATTCATCTCTGATGTGAGGCACCCCCTCTGAGGAATCTGTTCAGAAAGGGCATGGGAGCTGCAGCACGTGGTTTGCATCCTCTCCATACAACAAAGGGCCTGCACTTCCAGCAGTCACAGGGTAGTCTGCAGGGCAGGGTAGAGATGTTCCACAGAAGCTGATCAAAAGCTGGAATATCATTAAAGATCACAATACACCACCACATCAGGTTCAATTATTTCTAAGGAGGCAAAGCAACTACATATTTTAGAAATTTACTGTTTATTTCTCATTTCCAGTCAGTCTCACCCAAAGGTTTCAAGTGCAAAGCCCTGTCCTTCCACCGTCTTCCCATAACCCAGGTCTGTATCCTGTCCCTTCCCTCCCCTGCACCTGGCATTGCACAGAAGGTGTGGGTGGCAATGTCCCCTAAAAGCTTCTGCAAGGCTTAGCTTCCTGCTGTGCTGTCTGTACCTCTGTGAGTAAAGGCAAAATGTCAAGAAAAGGATTCAATTGTCTTGTATCTAAAACCAGCTATTTTCTTTCAGGTGACCCTGAAAATTCAGAGATTCATAATTTGATCATCTATGTATTTTTTCCCAGGAAAGGCACTGAACGGGTTACATGTGCAGATCTTTGGATATAATCTATTGGAGAAAGGATCTGGGCTGACGACGCCAGCACCTAGCACAAGCCCTGGATGAGAATAATGGGGCACTACAAGATGAACAGAGAGAGGGATTGGCGGTGGGCGGAGGGAAGGGATGCAAACAATTATGGCCAAGAAGTCACCTTAGGGGAAAAACCTAAGAAGAATTTTGGCTTGCAAAAGAGAAGGAAGCCTATAGGAAGAGTGGAAGAGGGCGTGAGGGGAGAGGCTGAAAGAGAGATAGAGGGAAAAAGGACAAAGGAGGAGAGGAAAATAGCCAATAAGGCAGACACGAGAAAAAGGGAGAGATGAGAGAGAAACAGGAGAGGACAAGGAGACAAGAAGCAGAGAGGCAAGGGACAGGGACAGCAATGGAACTCAGAGAGGACATGGGAGCGAGCTGGAGGAAGCTGACAGAGGGAAGGGAAGAACACGCCCCGCCGCCGTCAAAGGCAGGACTCAAGAACGCTGCCCTTCGTGGAAGTGAGATGGGCCCTGCTGCCTGCGCCTGCTTGCTCTCGGTCTTGGCCGACCTGAGCGCGCGTCTCTCCCGGGCTCTCAGGCGGCGCACAGAGAGGAGGCGCAGACGCGGCCGCCACCGCCCAGCCCAGCGCGCGGCTCTGAACTTGGCGCCAGCGCCCTGAGGACACCAAGCCCCGCCTTCCTGGCTGCACCCGCCTTCGGGGCGGGGCTTGCAGTTGGGCGGCCCCGGCGGGGAGGGCGCCGCGGGCCAGAGAAACCGCAACCCTGGAGAAAGCTCCCTGCTGATCCGCCGGGCGGCCCGGCTCTCCCCCGGCTCGGCTCCGCGGAGCCGCCCCCAGCTGGCTCGGACCAGGACCGGCCCTGCAGGAGGACGAGGGCGTCCTTTGGAGGCGGTGCCCGCTCTCGCTGCCGCCCTCTGACCCTGGGCGCCCGGACCTCTGGCTCCTGGGCCTGCCGGACCTCAGCGATAGGCGAGGGCTGCGCCCGGTGACTGCGGCTCCCTCAGCGCCGTGGACCCCCGCGGCCTGCCGGCCCTCCTTACCTCACTGAGGCGGGAGAATCGCTTGAACCCGGGAGGCGGAGGTTGCGGTGAGCCGAGACGCGCCATTGCACTCCAGCCTGGGCAACAAGAGCGGCCTGGCGGCCCCGCTAGCGGCACCTCCCCCGCATCCGAAACGCTCAGCTCCTCCCGGGAACGCCCGCGGCCTTCACTTCCCAGGCCCCAGCTGTGACCCCGCAGGAAGGCGGGCTCGGCGACCCCAGAACATAGAGGTGTCTGGGAAGTTAGCTGTTTCCGTAGTACGGTGGGAGGGGGCCAGGGTAGAAAATGACAGTTCAAGTGCCTTAAAATTAAGAACTTAGGCGTTGTTTAAAAAACAATAAATGGAGTGAAAAAATCAAGCCACACCGTAAAAGAAGATATTTGCAGCAAGTGATAAAGGATTAATATCCAGAATATATAAAGACTGTTATTGAATCAATGTGAAAGAGAAAAACACCTAAAGCAAAGAATGGTGAACACCTAAAGCAAAGAATGGTGAACACCTAAAGCAAAGACATCTAAAGCCAAGACCTCTAAAGCCGTCACTAGGCACTTCAAAGAGGAACCATGAACGACGAAAATGAAGTGAGTAGGTGACCAGTTCCCATTAGTAATTAGGAAATCGCAAAGTAAGACCACAAAGAGGGTAGTGAGGGTGGCTCACACCTCTCATCTCAGCGTTTGGGAGTCCAAGGCCAGAGGATCCCTTGAGGCCAGGAGTTGGAGACTAGTCTGGGAAACATAGCAAGACCCTGTCTCTACAAAAAATAAAAATAAATAAAAAAGTAAATCACAAGGAGATGACTAACCACCAGGCAAAAATGTTAAAGTATGCTAATATCAACTATTAAGAGGAATATGAAGCAAGATAGCTCAAATACACTTTTGAAGGAAACATACCAGGCTTCATTCATTCTGAAATACCCCTTATTTAAGATACTCCATTATATTAAATACAATTCCAAAACAAAAAAAATCAAATAACAAAAAACCAGACTAACCCAATACTTTCTTTCACTTGTAATTTGTATGTTACACATATTGAAAGATATGTTTTAGACTTATTAGAGAAGGATTTTTAATCGTGTATCACTCTTGTGCATACAAAATAAAATTGATTAAGATGTTTCTTATTTTATTTTATTTATTCATTTATTTTTTGAGACGGAGTTTCCCTCCGTTGCCCAGGCTGGAGTGCAGCAGCGCGATCTTGGCTCACCGCAAGCGCCGCCTCCTGGGGGCCATTCTCCTGCCGCAGCCTCCTGAGTAGCTGGGACTACAGGCTCCGGCCACCACACTCGCTAATTTTTTTGTATTTTTAGTAGAGACAGGGTTTCCCCATGTTGGCCAGGCTGGTCTCGAATGCCCGACCTCAGGTGATCCGCCTGCCTTGGCCTCCCAAAGTGCTGGGATTACAGGTGTGAGCCACCACGCCCAGCCCCTACTGCAGTTTTGACACTGGGATGTGAACTCGTCCACACTCCTGCCCTAGAGAGGGGGCCTGTGTTCCTCCCACTGACTCTTGGCAGCTGTGACTGCTTGGACCAATAGAGTACAGTGGAAGTGACACTGTGTGACTTCCAAAGTGAGGTTATAACAAGTTCTACAATTTCTGCCGTGCTCACTGAAAACACTCTTGGAACTCTGGGCCACCTGTAAAAGCCCAAGCACCCTGAAGCTGCCATGCTGGGAAGAAGCCCAGGTCACACGGGGAGGGCCTTCCCCCCGTGGAATGGAGACATGCAGGGTCTCCATTCACAGTTCCAGCTGAGCCCAGCTTTTGAGCTCTCCTGCCCAGGAGCCACACTTGTGAGTGGAGCAGCCTCCAGATAATTCCAGTGCCCAATCCTTCAAGTCATGCGGGCTGCTCAAGCCTTCCCATCTGGGGCCCCAGACATGAGGAAGCCCTCCCTACTCTGCCCTGAGTGCCTGATCCTCAGAACCTGTGAGTGTAATAAAATGAGCCTGTTGTGTGTCTCTAAATGTAGGTGGTCTGTTACACAGCAGTAGAGAACTGGAATGTCCCTCACTCACAAGGACTCTGGCAACACCCGCAGTTTCCATCTCCTTCCAGATCTGCCATCTCCTGGGGGACTTAAGTGTCATACAAATAACCTCCCATTGCCAACACTCTGGCCTCCCAGTCCTTGACCTCCTCACCCACAGCAATGTCCTCACCTGTCACCTGGGCTAACTCTTCCAGTGAACAAATGGCAGGGTCTAGTGGTTTTAAGGGACACCATGAGGGCTGTTATAAGGGAAATGGAGGCTTCCTCTTGTAGCCCTTCCAAAGGTCCTGTGCCCCCCCTCTGGTGTTGTCAATATGCAGGATATTGGGAAGAGCTGCAGGTCACAAAGTCACCATGTCAACCTTCCTGTCAACCATAAAGGAATTCTGTCCCCAGGGTGGGGGAAGGGCCAGGCAGGTAGCTGGAGGCAAGTCTCCCAGAGCCAGCTGCTGACCCTAGTCCCTGCGATCTGGGGAGGTACCTGGTGAAGGGCCGCAGTGTGCACTGGTGAAAGGGCAGGAGGAGGGGTGTGGCCCTTGGGCATAAGGGGAGGCGCCAGAGAAGGTGGCCAGAGGTGGCCTGTGCTCAGCCTATCTGGGCCCTGGCACAGGCACCCAAGAGTGAGGTGGGGTCACAGGGACGGCCAAATAATGAGGAGCCGTGGCCGCTGGGGGCCCTGCTTCCTGCTCTTCCTGCTGCTGCTTCCTCCACCACTTTTTAGAGCAGGAAGCCTTCGGTACCATGGACCTGGCTGGAGAATGTTGCAACGCCTGGCCCTGGGCTCCAGGAGGGCCCACCACCGCCGTGGCCCAGGATGGAGGCAGCACTTGCGCCAGGGGCAAGCAGGTCACAGATGCCAGGGCTCATTTGACCTCTACTTCATCTTGGACAAGTGAGTGTCCCTTCCAGCTCTGGCTCTGGGTCACCCTCAGGAGCCACCACCTCTTTTTCACTAGGGACAGGACGCCACTCAAAGAGATGCAAGCTTCCGTCACAGAAGCAGGGCCAGCCCTTTGGTCAGACCAGACCTAGGCCTCCTGATCTTCTGAGGCACAAAGAATGCCATGGCTGTCTTTTCCCTGGTGCTTCATCTCCTGGATGAGGAAATAAGTCACCAAAGGGGTTCTGGACGATCCCCTGTCCCCCCATCGGCTGGGTCAGCATCCTCATCCTCAGGCTGCTGCAACAGCTGATTGCTCAGACCTGCTTCTCAGCAGTTCTCAGAAGCGCACTGTGGATGTTTGGAGTTTTTGTGTTGTTTTGCTTGTTTGTTTTTCACGCAAATAACTTCTATTTTACCGGGCCCCAGAGAGATTGCTTTGTTGCCTGTGTTGGTCATTCTAATGTCACTGCTTAGAGAAGGCCTTTGGTTGGCTGCTTCTAAGTGCTTCTTCTACAACTTGGAGAGCCACGTGATAGTTCCTGCACTTTCAGGAACAATTGGTTCTGTTTCAGGGTGGCCCTGGGGAAACTGGGCTGTGTATTAGGCACCTTCTGGCTCGCCAGGAAGGAAAGAGGCAATGTTCAGCTTTGGAGAGATTGTCTTGGTTCCTTTTCCCACTCCTCCTGCTAGGTGGGAATACTCTCTGTGCTTATTTAGTAGTAGCAGTGGTGCAGTTTTCAGGAGAGCAAGGGCTTTCTGGTCTCCAAAGCCCTTTCCCTGCACTCCTGGCACCTCACCACAATCCTGGGCTGTGAGTAGTGCAGGTATTTTTCTATCTGGTTCCTGGACAAGGGCGGCTCCTGGAGGTTGGGGAAGCATCCAGAGACAGCTGGTGTGAGAAGACTCCGGCTTCCTGTGCTGCACTCTTTCCAGCATCGCAGGTTGAAGTTCCTCTGAATTTTCTCATTCCCCCGGATACTGATGCTTAGGGGACATACACCCCAGCCCACCAATTCCTATGGTTTGTAACTGCTCTGCTACTCTTGGGGAAGGAGCAACTCCGTTCTGGAGACAGGCAGACTCCACTCACTAGCCACATAGTCTTGGGCGAGTTGCTTCGTCATTCTGTGCCTTTGTGTCTCCCATCTGTAAAAAGGGTATCTTCATTTTCACCTTGCCAAGTGTGATGAGGATGAAGGGAGAATTTGCAGGTCAGAGGCAATGACAGAGGATGGGGATGAAGGGACCTGCCAGGAAAGGCAGAGTCACAGGCTGGAAGCTCATAGGAAATGCAGAGGCCCTGATGCAATCCCAGACAGACTGGATGAGGGGGAATGCAGAGGGAGTGCCTAGAATGGATGTAAAGGGAGCAGACAAAAGCAACCTTAATGATTCTTCCTAACAAGGCTAGGGGTAAAGGGTATTGCCCCATTGTAAGGAGGAGGCAATGAGGCAGGCCATGGCCAGGAAATGACCCACCACAGCCTCCAGATAGGCATCCACGGCGCTGAATTGAAACTCTGGATTGTGTGACTCCAAAGCCCATCCAAAGACCATGCAGCTGGGCGGGACCCTGGGAGTCTTGCAGTAGTCCTCCTGGCAGAACAACATCTACTGCCTGCAGGGAGGCTCTTTGGTCATTCATGTCCAGCTTATTCATGAGACTCCTTATTCATTGGTTCATTCATTGGATTGAGCTGGAAGAAAATGAATCAGCCTCCCATGTGCTTCTATTCTTGGCCAGGTGACCTTTTAGGCCTCTAAGTGGGAGTGACCCATTGTATTTTTTTGAGTAATTTTTTAATTGTGGGAAAACATACATAACAAAAATTTGCCATTTTTAAGTGTGCAATTCAGCAGCATTAAGTACATTCACAGCGTTGTGCAGCCACCACCATCCATCTCCAGAAATGTTTCATCATTGCTTATTGAAACCCTATTCTCAGCCGGGAGCAGTAGCTCACTCCTGTAATCCCAGCAATTTGGGAGTCAAGGTGAGAGGATTGCTTGAGTCTAGGAGTTCAAGATCAGCCTGGGAAACATGCAAAATCCTGTCTATACAAAACATATAAAAATTAGCCAGACATGGTGATGTTTGCCTCTACTCCCAGCTACTCAGGCTGAGCTGAGACAGGAGGATTGCTTGAGCCTGGGAGGTCAAGACTGCAGTGTGTCAAGATCACAACACTGCACTCCAACCTGGGTGACAGAGTGAGACCCTGTCTCAAACCCCATCCACACCAAAACCCAAAACACCTCTATTCCCATTGAACAATAACTCCCCATTCCTCCCTTTCCCCAAGCCCTAGTGACCTTTAGTGTATTTTCTCTATCTATGACTTTGCCTATTGTAGGTACCTCATGTAAGTGGAGTCATACAATATAATCATACAAACATATAATATTTGGCCTTTTCTGTCTGACCTTTTTCACTTAACATAATGTTTTCAAGGTTATTCCATGTTGTAGCATCCATCAGAATTTCATCCCTTTTATGGCTGAATAATGTTTGTCTGTATGTATATGTACCACATTTTGTTTATCTTTTCATCTGTTGATGGACACTTGGGTTGCTTCTGCCATTTGGCTATTGTGAATAATGCTGCTATGAACACCGGTGTACCCATATCACTTTGAGTCCCCGCTCTCACTTCTTTTTGGTATATACCTGGGCGTGGAATTGATGGATCCTATGGTGATCCTATGTTTAGCTTTCTGTGGAAATGCCAAGCTATTTCCCACAGGGATTGCACCATTTTTCTTTCCCACCAACAAAAGTCTAACGTTTGTTATTTTTTAGTTTTTGATAATAGCCACCCAATGGGTGTGAAGTTGTATCTCCTTGCCGCTTTCACTGGCATTTCCCTAGTGACTAGTGGTGTGGAGCATCTTTTCATGTGCTTATTGGACATCTGCATATCTTCTTTGAGGAAATGTCTGTTCAAATTCTTTGCCCATTTTTTTGTTGTTGCATTTTTTTATTGTTTCTTTTTCGTTGTTGTTGTAGGAGTTCTTTGTATATTCTGGATATTAATCCCTTATCAGGTATATGAGTTGCAAATATTTCCTTCCATTCTGCAGGTTATCTTTTCACTCCCTTGGTAGCGTCTTTGATGCACAAAATTTTTAATCTGGACACAGTCTCAACTTTTCTATTTTTAATTTAGTTGCCTGTGTTTTTGGTGCCATATCCAAAAAAATCCCCAAATCTAATGTCATAAAAGTTATGTTTTCTACTAAGAGTTTAAAAGTTTTAGCCTTTACATTTAGGTCTTTGACCCATTTTGAATTAATTTCTGTAATGGTTTATAGAAGGGTCCAACTTCATTCTTTTGCATGTAGACATCCAATTTTCCCTGCACCATTTTTTGAAACTACTGTTCTTTCCCACATTGAGTGTTCTTAGCACACTGGTTGGAAATCATTTGACCACAGACATGACAGGTTATTTCTGAGCTCTCTATTCTGTTCATTGCTCTACATGTCAGTCCTTATGTCAGTGCCATAACAGTTTGATTACTGTAGCTTTGTAATAAATTCTGAAATCAGGAAATGTGTATCCTCAATTTTGTTCTTCTTTCTCAGATTTTTTTTTGTTATATAACTAATGTCCCTTGAAATTCCATATGTAATTTAGTGCAAATTTTTTAAAATGCTATACAGATTTTGATACAGATTACATTGTTATCTTAACAATATCATTATTGTGCCTTCTGATTCATAAGCATGCAATATCTATCCATTTATTGTGTCTTTAAATTCTTTCAGCAATGTTTTACAGTTTTCAGTATACATTTCTTTTGCTTCCTTGTTTAAATTTATTCTTAAGTATTTTGTTCTGTTTGATGCTATCATACATGAAACTTTTTTGGTTGATTTTCCATATTTGGATTGTTCATTGGGGGCTTTTCCAACCAATACATTCTCTCCCATTTCCACTCTACACAGTGCCCCACCTAACCTGATCAGCCACCTGGATGGCCAGCAAAAGCCCCACATCCCAGGAAGCTTCTCAGTCCCAGGCAGATGGGGCTGGGTGGTCACCTTATGCTGACCACTCAACTGGTGAAACTCACGACCTCGGATGATCCAGTGGCCACTGGGGGGTGTACCCCAGCCTCAGCTATGCTGGGGTCAGGCGAGCTTGTTAAGAGTCTGCTGGGAGGCTGGGGGCGGGGCAGATACTTGCCCACCTGACAGATGCACTCATCTCCCTGACCCACGTCTCCTGTCTCCTTTTGTTTTAGGTCTGGCAGCGTGAACAACAACTGGATTGACCTTTATATGTGGGTGGAGGAAACAGTGGCGAGGTTCCAAAGGTACAGATCTCCCACATGGCAACCTCCCCTGAGCTGCAGAGAGCTTTTCCTCTGGAAGGCAGGCAGAGGGCACATCCCATCAGATGGGGTGGGCGTGGGAGTCCCTCAGTGGGGGACACAGAGCACAAGGTGGCATTCTGAAGCAGGAATGAGGCCAGCGCTCACTGGTTCCATCGGATCTCAGCAGCCTTGACTGGCTCCTGCCTGTGAGCCCGGGCATATTGCAGGAGAGGCAGTTTGCCCTTGGGGACATCACACGCTGGGAAGGGACAATAGGCAGGGAAACCAGTGACTCAGTCCTGGAACCCCGGGTTACACAGTGCTGAGGGCTCAAGTAGGGGACAAAGAACTCACCTGGAAGTTTGAAGGAAAAAGCAGGAACTCCTAAGGACAAAGTCAACGGTGGCTTCCAAGGATGTGCGTCTTTGAACTGGGTCTTGTAGGATGGAAAAGACAGGGACCTGTGGTGGAGTGAGTGGTCTTGCTTGGCTGGGAATGAGGTTAGCTCACGGAGGGCTGGGAGAGGACTGGGCAGGTCAGCTTGAGGCCAAAGCCACAGGGGCTCATTGTGCCAGGCCAAGGAGCTGAGATTTCCTGCTGTGAGCCATGGAGAGCCAGAGAAGGCTCTTGAGCAGAGGAGTGGCATGATCAAGATGGCACTTAAGGAAGAAAAGTCTGATGACTGTGGGTAAAATGAATGGGCAATAGGGCAGGAGCCGTTAGGAGCTCTGCTGGGGACATATGACAGCACTGTCACTGAGGGCTACTGAGGGTCAGCCAGCAGGAAGGAGGGTCAGGGAGAGGAAAGGGAGGCCGTGTGCATGGCTGCCAATAGGGAGTCGCTCCTCTGAGGTGAAGGAGGGATGCGGGAGAGGAGAGGGAGGAGGGAATGGGGTGAAGAGGCAAAGAATTTTCCAGTAGAAGGGAGGCCAGCTGGGAGGGCTGGGTGTGCATCTCCCTGCCTGTTCATTATATGGTATATGTGTCTGTGTGTGTGTGCATGTGCCTGTGTGCGGGTGCCTTCTGTGTGTGTGTGTTCATGTGAGTGTGTGCATGTGTGGGTGCGTGTGTGTGTGTGCATGTGTGTGTATACGTGTGTGTATGGGTGTGTGTGTGGTGTGTGTGGTGTGTGTGCCTGTGCGTGTATGTGCATGTGTGTGTGCATGTGTGTGCACCTGTGTGTGCATGTGTGTGTGTGCTTGTGTGTGCATGTGTGTACACAAGTGTCTTTGGGGTGTTGGGAGTGTGGGGATGCAGTGATGGGGATGCAGTGAGTTGCCATCCTGACTCTCTCTTCTGTGGAGCCCTTGTCTCCACAGGCCTCAGAGTCCTTCACTACATTTATCTCACCTCCTTGTGTCCAGCAAGGGACTCCAAAGCGGAAGGGTTGGGGCGGGAGGTGCGGAATTGGCCTCACCACCCTGGCTTCTGAGCCGGTGCCTCTGGCTTCTCACCAGCACATGATTCCTTCACAGCTCAGATATTCGGATGTGCTTCATCACCTACTCCACAGACGGCCAGACTGTCTTGCCACTCACCTCAGACAAGTGAGTGCTGCTTGGATCCCCCAAGGGGTCTGGTGAGCTTGGCCAGAGGGAGCTCCAGGGAGCTGAGGGGCTCCCGGAGACCTTGGTTGGGAGCCTGACAGCACCCAGGGCAGGCCGGTCAGGGCAACTCACAGTACCCACCTGACCTTAGCCCCGCTCCCCTGCACCCTCCTACCCATGGCTGCAAGGTTACCTGCAGGCCCCTGTGCTCCAGTTCTCAGCCTCCCCCACTTCACGCTCCCCTGCCCTCTCTCTGCCCTGCCTCCTTCCCTGAAAGGTGGCTGTGAGGATTCCCGGGGTGCAGGGGCTGGCAGAGGGGTGGGGGTGTCCTGTGAACACACACCTGTGCAGGCGGCTGCTCTGTGCCTGTTCCCCCTGCCCTGGCCAGTGCGGGAGGGAGACAGGGTCAGAGCTGGTGGTGGGAGTCGTGGGGCTTTAGTGCAGGGATGCTGGCAGGCCCAGACTGGGGAGTCCCTGGGTGGGGTTCTGAGATCCAGGGCAGGCTGGGAAAATGGAGGGAGGCAGGAGGAATAAGCTCAGACGGCTGGAGCCCAGGCCCAGCAGGGGGCACTGCAGAGTTCCTGTTTGGTGGGAGCTGAGGGCCCTTCCAATGCACATGCCCGGAACTGGGCCCAGAGGAGGTGAAGCACAGAGAGAGGTGAGGACACTGAGGACTGGATGGGGGACTGGCCCCACTTGCAGCTTTGAGGGAATGCAGGGTAGGGGAGCTTGAGTTTGTGTGTCCTGCGCTGTGGGTTTGTGAGAGACACTGGAGTGGGTGTGAGGTGGTAAAAAGCAAGTCTATGGGGGAGGACTGTGGTGGGTGACCCAGACAGGGAGCGGGGTTTGGGCATGGCCAGAGGAAGGCCAGGCCGTGGACTCTTCTGGGTATGGATGGGCCTGGCCTCTTCCCGTCCTGGGCTGGGCAGGGCGGGGCTCTTAGAGCTCCGGCCATGGCAGGGATGCTCTGCCCACAGTGGGAAGCCATCCTTCAGGGTCCATGCTCTGCCCAGCCTTGCTGTGCAGGCTCAGCCTGTCACATTGGATTAGCCTGACCCTAAGTCCCTGGCCCATCCCAGTCCTGCCACCAGAGCCAGTCCTGGCTGCCCCAGCCCATTCTGTCTGTTTTAATAGCAGCTGACAGGCCACATCCCCCAGCCAGCCTGCAGATAGTGTTCGGCCCCTGCATGCACAGCTGTCGGGGCTGCCTCTCCAGCCTTTGGTCTTTTTGTTTCAGGGGCACAGAAAGTCAAGGAGGCCAGGCAGTCTAACTAAGCAGATTTGGTACTTCCTGTGTCAGGGTAAAGATAGAGCAGGAAACTGAGTCAGGGTCAGGGGTCTGGGGCCGTCGGGGCTGGGTGTAGGGCTGGGGGTTTGGCAGGATGACTTTTCCCAAATGCAGCCCTACCTGTCAAAGGATGGAGTGCCCAACACAAGAGAGTCTTTGTTAGGGTTACGGATTGGGTTAGAGTTAGAGTTAGGAATGTCAACCCCATTGTCAGTGGCTGACTCTCAGTTGCCCATCCCTGGTTCAGGACTAGGGCTAGGGCTAGGGCTAGGGCTAGGGCTAGAGTTAGTTAGAGTTAGAGTTAGAGGAGTTAGGAATGTCAACCCCATTGTCAGTGTCTGACTCTCAGTTGCCCATCCCCAGTTCAGGGTTAGGGTTAGGGTGAAGATTAGAGTTAGAGTTAGAGTTAGGAATGTCAACCCCATTGTGAGTGGCTGACTCTCAGTTGCCCATTCCCGGTTCAGGGTTAGGGTTAGGGTTAGGAATGTCCGCCCCTGTGCAGTTCCTGACTCACAGTTGCTCATCCATGGGAAGTTCCCACTGTCACCAGAGATGGCCAAGCAGGGCCCTGGTGAAGTTCCCCAGGCCTGCATTCTCTGTAACTGCGATGAGCTCAGAAGGGTTTGAAATCTCTGGTCAAAATCACGATGAGGAATGAGCAGGACAAAGCCCTTGCCTGGCCCCCTCCTTCATCCAGGAGGCCTTGCACAAAGAACAGTGGCTCCCGGAGAGCTTGGGAGCTGATTTTTAACAGTCAATGTCTTTCCAGGTCAACCACCTTTTTAAATTTTTTTCAGGAATAGAATAAAAAATGGTCTTGACCAGCTTCGGAAAATTGTACCTGACGGACACACATTCATGCAGGCAGGATTTAGAAAGGTATAGACCCCTTGATCTCCTAACTCTAACTCTAACCCTAACTCTAACCCTAACCCTAACCTACAAAATCTTAGAGCATCAGTGGGATCATCTCACTGTCCAGGCTCAATATTTCTTCATTTTCTTGCAGGCAATTCAACAGATTGAAACGTTCAACTCCGGAAGTAAGCACCTGCCGTCCGCATGGTGGTCCCATAGGGGGAACGGAGCTGGGCGAGAGCCTCAGAGAGCTCTGTGTGCAGATTCTGCAAGGCCACCCCTGCCCTGCATCTTGGAGCAAGTTGCTCACCCTCTCTGAGCTCCAGGTCCCTCCCTGGTGCAGTGAGCATAGTAAGCCCCCACCCCATGGAGTTCTGAGAACTGTGTGAGATCCTGCGTGTGCACCCCTGGTGCTCATAACCCTGAGGTGCTTGCCCTCCAGCTGGGCTGTGTGAAAAGGAAAAGAGAAGAGCCAAGGGGTTTGCCCCCTTGCATGCACCTTAGTCTTCCTCCTCCCTTCTATGTCTCCCCTCCGAGTGACTTGCATTCCCTGACCTGTCTCATATGGTACAGAAGGCTGTCCGGGGCCCCCAACTCCTCTCCCCACCGTGTCGCTGCAGCTCTTGTCAGGAAAAGGCAGGGCTGGTGAGGAAAGGCATTGAGGTGGCTGTGGGGTCCCCTGCCCAGGTGCCACTGACCTGGAATCCTGAACTCCTGGGCCCAGAGATGCTGGCAGGACTGCCTGCAGGCTCTGCTCACAGCAAGACCCAGCCCCCTGGGAGCCTCCCTGAGCCTGTCTGTTACAGGAGGGCCCAGCAGCTCCTCCTGCTGCCCGTGGGACAGGCCTGTGGTTGTTGAGTCCTGGCTGGAGCTGCCCTCAGGCAGAGGTGGTGCAGGCTGCTAGTGGGTGAGGATTCAGGCAGCCTGGTGGAAAAGACTGTGCCCCTTTCAGCCCCTCCTCTGTAAAATGGGTGCTGGGCTGAGACCTCCCTTACTCTAGGGGGTCTCTGGGTGGCAGGTGCTTGGGTCTTGGCAGCCTCTCCTCTGGAGGATGAGGTGTGGGCACTTGGCCATGCCCTGGAGTGGGCAGTGCTGTGGTCCCCAGCCACCTGCAGGGGCTCGGGAGCTTCTGGAGGTCACTCCTGGTGCCTTTGCTGAGCAGGCCACTCTTTGTTTCTTCTACAGACAAGGTTCCCAGCATGATTATTGCTATGACTGATGGAGAGCTGGTTGCACATGCATTTCAGGACACTCTCAGAGAAGTGAGTCCAGTTCATACTTACCAGCATTTTGCTCCATGAATTTTGATGACTAATACTCAATGCCTTCTTTCCCTTAGGCTCAAAAAGCTCGGAAACTGGGGGCCAACGTTTACACCGTGGGTGTGGCCGATTATAAGCTGGACCAGGTAATTCCAAACAGGTGACCAGGCGCCACTTTCGAGCCTAGTGGGGAAAGGCGTCCCAGGTGGCTTTCCCAGGGCCACCCCGAGGATGGTTGTCTAAGCTGCCCCAAGTGAGATGGGCCAATCCATGGCCACTGCAGAAGTGATTGACAGCATGTTGTACAAATCCCACGATGCCAGAGGGGAGGGTGGAAGAGCTCCCCGCTCCCCAAGAGTGGGCTGCTGGCTGGAGAAGCTTGCAACATTCAGAGCCTGACATTCTGCTGCCCCCAAAGCATGGGGGCAAGACACTGTCCCCTGGGCCTGGAGTCTGCTGCATCCTCACCTCCTGGCGGGGATCCAAGCCAGCTCTGCTCTCCGTAGATAACGGCAATTGCAGACAGCCCGGAGCACGTGTTTGCAGTGGAGAATGGCTTCAAGGCCATGAGAGACACCGTTGATGCTGTGAGTGGGCGGAGGTGAGGGGCTGGGGGCCTGGCTCCTGTGGCTGGAAGCTCACTCTCCCTGCCCCGCCCCACCCCTCCTGTGTTCCAGCTCACGTCAAAGGTCTGTCTTGACGTGACATCGGTGGAGCCTCCCACTGTGTGTGTAGGAGGTGAGAGCTGCGGAGGCCCCGCGGTAGCCACAGGGTGTGTGCATGGGTGCAATCGTGTATGGAGTGTGTGCATTTGCTTGGTATGTGTGGGGGAGGATGTGTGTGGGGGAGGATGTGTGTGGGGGAGGATGTGTGTGGGGAGTGTGAGTGTGGTGTGTGTATGTGGTGTGTGTGTGTTTGGTGTGTATGGTGTGTGTGTGTAGTTTGTGTGGGTGCAGTGTGTGTAGTATGTGTGGGAAGGTATACTGTGGGAGGCTTGATGTGTGTGAAGTCTGTGGGAGAGGGTAATACGTGGTCTGTGTGCTGTGGAAATGTGTGTGATTGTGTGGGGTGCGTAGATGTGCTGTGAGTGTGGTGTGTGGGGTATGCATGAGTGATGCATCTGTGTGTGTTGTATTGTGGGGTGTATGTTGTGTGGGAGCTGAGGTGCTGTGTAATATGTATGTGGGGGTGTGAGTGTATGTAGGGGGCATATATGCATGTGTGTGTGGTGTATGTGCAGTGTGTGTGTGTGGCATGAGTGGGGGTCTTGTGGGAGTGTGTGGGAAGGTTGCCTGGTGTGTGGAAGACTGCTGGTGTGTGGGAAGGCTGTCTGGTATGCAGGTATATGGAGTCCAGTGTGTGTCTGTGTCATATGGGGAGTTGGGAGTGTGTTGCTGATGTGTGTGGTGTGTGTATGGGATGTGTGATGTGTCTTCGGTATTTTTGGTGTGTGTGTGTTTGCTATTTATGTGTGTGGTGTGTGAGTGCGTGTGCTTTGGGTGTGTGGTGTGATGTGTGTGGTATGGGGTGGGTTGAGTGTGTTTGTGATGCAGTGTGGATGGGTGGGTGGGTGTGGATGTGTAGCCCACATGGGTGTGAATGTGAGTGTCTGTTGGTGTGGAGGGAATATGCGGGGGTGGGAGTGTCAGTACCTGTGTACAATTAGTGTGCTGTTACTTCACAACAATAAGTTTAAAGCAAGAAAAGACATGTGTGAGAAGCTCTCAGGGAAACACCAGCAAATGGCATGGAGCCGCAGGTAACCCAGACCACAGGCCAGGAGCAGCCAGGGCTCCTCCCAGGAAGGCCAGGCAGGTGCAGGAGCTGAAATATGTGTAATTTACCACATCAGCAAAACAGGAAACAGGAACCAAGCGGTTATCTCAGGAGATGAAGAACAAGAAGTGGGGGCGTCAACATGCCACAGCACCCTGTAAGCAGAAGGAAACCTCCATAGCCCGACAAAGGCGTCCACACAAACACCCTCGGCTCACCTCAGTCCTACAGGATCAATCCCAGTGCCTGTCCATGCTGTCTGGGACATAGCGAGGATGCCCTCTTGCCAGCCGGGCTCCCAGCATGGGTGGTGACAGCCCTGTGAGGGCCTCTGTGATGCCTCTGTCTGTGCTGAGATCTTTCTGTGCAGGCTGGGGCTCTGCATGGCCAGCAGTTGCACAACTGCGGCTGCTGGAGATGAAGGGAGCCCTGGGTGTCCTCCCTCCATGGGGACAGCACGAGGCCCTTCACAAGACCACCAGGCCCTCCAGCAGCTGGGCTCTGGCTTCCCTGTTCCTCACTGCAGGGTGCCCTGGCAGTAGGCTGTGGGGCACACTGTCCTTGTCTGAGCTCTGCTCTCCATGGGCACACGACCAGGAGTAAATTGTCCAATTCCAGCGAGCTCCAGCGGTGCCTCTCATGAACAGAAAGGACACTGTCAGGCCTGTTGTGAGTCCTAAGGCACTGGGCTGTGTGGGGACTGGCACAGGGCTGGGAGCTGGTAGGTCCCACAAACGAGAACTGTGCTGACATTTCCATGATTGGTCCTGGGCTCTGTCCCTGACCCCACCTCTCCCTGATGCAGAGCTGAGGGTGGGGGTGGAGTAGAGAGAGCTCCCCTCCCCCTCGGGGTCTCTTTCTGCTGCTTCTGATTTAAAGCCGCTCGCTCAGCCGTGCAGCAGTTGTGACAGCTGTGCTCCTCTGATGATGTCCCTGGACATGCACAGGCTGTGGCGTGTGAGCAGCCCTGTCAACCCCAGGTGAGGATGTGAGTCGTCACTCCTCCCTGGAGGCAGCAGAGTTGAGATAACAGGTGCCCTCTGCCCACCAGCTCAGCCCTCTGCCTCTGCCCATGTGGCCTGGCAGTCACAGCCCTGAACTGTCAGCTGTTGGCTAACTTGGGCAAAGCTGCCCCACATGGAGGGCGACAGTCACAGCAGGGAAAGGCCGAGGCAGGAGCCTGAAACCCAAATGCAACAGAATGAGCCCTGTCAGCAGGCTGCCACCAAGAAGCCAGGAGGGCTCCAGGGAGCCCAGGAAGGAGTCCAGGGAAGGAGGCACGCAGCCCAGACTCCCTTGTTTAGCCCTGGGCCTCATATCCAGCCTGGGAGAGGCCTCTGGTAGCCTCACTGCTCCAGGCCCATCCTGAAGCCATCCACCACACATGGCTGGAGGATTTTGACAGGGACCTCCCTCTCTAGCCTGGCAGGTGTCTGAGGCTCTTAGCAGGAACCCCAGGCCCTCCAGGGGCTACTCCCTGCTCTGGGAGCCCTGTGCAGAGGTGGGAACAGGTGGGGCATAGGCACTCTGCAAGCCCTGCCTCACCTTGAAGGGCTGAGCCCACCTGTCCCTCACAGCCCTGTTCAAAGGACACCTCATCCTGGAAGCCTTCCCTGATGACCAGGCCCTCTGACTCCCTGAAGCCCAAGGGCTTGGTCTGTGCCTCTCATCAGTCACTTGTCACCCAGGATGTATCATGACTTCTGGTTGTCTATGTCCAAGCATAATTTTCTTATTTAGTTCTTTGGTTTTCTTCCACCCTTTTATTGTTGAAATTTTCAAACCTATAGGTGAGTGGAAAGGATTGTGCAATGAACACAAACACACCTACAACCACCATTGGGATTTTACAATGAATGTTTGGCCACGTTCCTTTCTCTCTCTCTCTTTCTCTCTCTCTCTCTTTATCCATCCACCTTGGGAAAAAAATGCTTGCTTGCAATACATAGAATACATAGTCCTAACGCAGCCCAGGATGTAATTTGCAATTACCCCGTCCATGGAGCTTTGGGGCAGCCCTCAGTCCTGCTTAGAGTGGCCAAGTTGGGCTGACCAAGGGGCGCAGGCCACAGGCCCAGTTGCTCCCTCCCGGTTGCACACTGAGCCCAGTGTCTTGCTGGTCAGGGCTTTTTGGAAGCCTGAGTCGGGAAGACGTTGAGAGTATCTGGCATTTGGAAGCAGCTGCTGTCAGCCTTAGCGGTGGGAGAGAACCCCATGCTTGCCCTGTGGGGGCCCATGTCTAGTTTCTCAGAACAGGGCACCAAGTTGGCATTTCCTGCTGTCTCTCACAGCCTCAGTGCCCCTTCCAGGCCCAGGCTCTTCTGAGGGCAGTGTAGTATCCATCAAATGGGTGCCTACAAGGGCCGGGCTGGCACCTTGAGCAGGAAGAGTAGGCCAGGCTCAGCCAGCTGATGTCAGCAGTCAGCGTTGAGGGCCTTGAAGTGAGGTGGGCCTCGGAGCTCCTTATCTGAGGAGCATGGTTCCCTAGGTCCCAGCCAGGAGCTGACATGAGAAACAAACCCACTGAGGCCTGCATTTCCCATTTTCCAAGAAAGCTAGAAATCTAGATATTTCTGGGAAATGTTCAGGCTTTCAACTGCAGGCTCCCATTCTGAAAGCCTCAGAAAGCATGTCAGCAGGCCAGCTTCACCCACAGCCTGCCTTGAAGGTGTGACGCTGCAGGAAGGCAGGAAGCAGGGTTCACAGGAAGCGTTCCTTGGGTGCATGAATCAGGGGCACCCCAGGCATCAGCAGGAATTGGTATGCGCGGGGCCTGGGCCAGGAGGCAGGGGTGGAGGCCAATGCCCTTGGCAGCTTCAGACCTGTGGTAACCCCGGCTGGCTCCTGGGGCCAGCCCTCACCTGCCCTGTGCCCCCTGTGGTCTTTGGCTCATGGCAGGAGTTGTCCTTCCACAGTGGTGGAAGGACACACTCCCTGAGCCTCAGGGTGGGTGCCCTGTGGTCCTTACTGGTTCAGGAAGAGCAGGAGATGAGGAATCACCTGTAGGTCTCTGGAATCACAGCTAAAACAGGGCTTCTGTGATGGATTCCCCTGAGCAGGGTCCTAGGTGGCTTGCCTGCCGCACCCGAGTCCTGGCCCTGTCACTGTGGGTGTCCTGCCTGCCACAGGCACACAGAAAGACAGGGAGGAGAGACCCCAAGTGTTCAGCAGCCCTGAAGGAGGCATCCAGGCCTGGGCGCCCAGCTGGGTGCATGAGACATGGTGTCTTCAGGCAGCATTATGGCTCCGCTTACACCTTACATCAGGGAGGGCCTGGCTGAGTGCACGGCCTGCACACCTGGGGCCCGAGGGAACACCACAAATTTCAGGGCAGGAATAGCACTCTGAGCCTACCTGTGCCGGGACCAAGGCCTTTCCTTAGCGTTTTGGTTCAGGAATGGTAGGGAGAGGGCCCTTGAGTGTTCAAGGCCCAGACGCCTCCTCCTGGACCCTCAGTGACACCAGATGAAGATTTGACCCAGTGGGCACATAGATGTTGGTTCAGACGCAGCTCTTTCCTTACAGGAGCCTCTGCGAATTCGGTTTTGGGGCTGGATCTCCAGGAACAGGGAGGTCAGAGGGGAGGCAGCCCCCTACTCTTCCTCACTCAGACTTTTGAACGTTGTCCTTGCAGAACCCTACCATGTGGTTGTTCATGGAAATGGCTTTCAGAATCTAAAGAAACAGGATGAAGTTATTTGCAGATTTATCTTCAATGAAAGCACTATCATTGGTAAGTTGTCTCCTCGGTGCCTCTGAGTCATATATTTCCCACACAATGCTGCCTTTCCCCACAGCCAGCCAAGCCTCCCAGCCCTTGCCAACCATTCCCTTGGACCCGGTGGGGTTAGAGGCCATGAGGACAAGTGGAAGGAGGCACTGGGAAGCCTGGCCACCCCTCCCTTCATCTGCCAAGTGGGGAAGTAACAAATCCCAAGAGAACATCTCAGATCAGGGCTTCCCCCTCGAGGCTGGAAGGACCCGAAGCCCACAAGGCTACTCCTGGGAAATGGTGGCAGCCCCGGAGGTCTGAGCCTGGCTGGCCAGGTGCACCAGTAGCTTGCCCAGAGGGGTGTGTTTACCTTGCATTGAGGGAGGATGCCAGCCTGTAGGCCTGGGCCCTGGAATCCTGGCTCAGGCACACATTGCCTGTGTCACCTTGACCAGATGAGTATTCTACTCTGAGCCTCTATTTTCTCAATTTAACATGGAGCCAATATGGTGCTGGCTGTGTATCCTTTGACTGAAATGGTTGGGACCACAAATGTTTTAGTTTCTTAATTTTTTGAGGTTTTGGAATATGTGCATTATGCTTATGTTTCAGCATCCCAAACCGCAAATTTGAAATCTGAAATTCTCTGTTGAGCATTTCTTTTGAACATCATGTTGGTGCTCAAGAAATTTCAGATTTTGAAGCATTTTGGGTGTGGATTTTCATATTACAGATGGTCAGCCACAGTTGCACCTAACTATGCAAAATCACATGTGTAGAGCAGTTGGTTCGTGGAAGGGCTATAGCATTTTAAAAAATCTCCTGTTATTTGACTATAGTTAGGCATCAGGGGACCTCTGTGATAGTGGAGTGGCCTGAGGAAGTGCAGAGTCCAGGCAGACGCTGTGCCCTGGGTGCTGGGGAGGGGCGTGTGCTCTTCCCCACTGAGTGCCTGGGGTGCAGTTGGATTTTTGCATCCTCCTTGATCTTCCCAGGTGGCCCTTTGATACATTCATTTGATCTGATGATAATATGTTCACTGACATCTAATTCCAGGGCCATGTAGTAATCCCAGGATGACTTCTCTTCCCCCAAGAGGCTTCTTGGCCATTTTCCTCTTTTCCATGAATACATAGGAAGGGCTGGGCCTGTCATCCCCACATTCCCACTCATTAGAATTGTGTGGATGGTCTCAGGGAATTCGGTTTTCACTGGGTTATACTTTCTCAGGAGTGTCTTAGGGACTGAGCATCCCCTTTCTAAGGAAAGGTAATGCTTATTGAGCATTTACATCAGATATTGTGCCAAGTGCCTTACACACAGTATCTCCCTGAATCCTCAAAGCAGCCTCACAGAAATTCCTTTGAATGTGTCAACCTAAGTAACAGACAGACAAGGGCTCTTTACAAGAAAATGATGTTCATCTGAGAATGGGCATCACAGTGGGAATGCGCATCCACAGGAAACTACATGCATATTCAGGAAGGTTTGATTTGACAAGAGATGTGAAGAGGATTACATAATTGTTTGAGTTAATTCTTCTTGGCTACTAAGGTCAATAATAATAGAGGTGACCCCAGTGTGAGGTTGCATGGGCAGTAGCTGGGCAGATGTCCTTGCAAAAGTTGCAGTGGTCTTTGTACAAGGTTGTAGTTTTGCAGAGACTTGTGATGGTTTTTGTTATCAGGTATACAAGCTCGTGAATCCTCTCTTCATAGACTTCCCCATCTCAACTTGCCAGGATTTTTTTTTTAAACATATTAACTCCATTTTGATTTTGACAATGTTCGCAGTTTCTTCTTTTTGATGAAAATCTTTTGGCTGCTCATGGTGGCTCACGCGTGTAATCCCAGCACTTTGGGAGGCTGAGGCAGACAGATCATGAGGTCAGGAGATGGAGACCATCTTGGCTAACACGGCGAAACCCCATCTCTACTAAAAATACAAAAGAAAAAAAAAATTAGCCGGGCGTGGTGGCAGATGCCTTTAGTCCCAGCTACTCAGGAAGCTGAGGCAGGAGAATTACCATATATTTTACATGAGCACTCATTTATTTAAGTCATTCTAAACAGAATTCCTTAAGGGATTTCTGGATGACTATGTCAGATTTTACCAAGTAGACACAACATAAAACTTGTACGTATGTGTAAACACACCTAAACATATATATACACACACAAAGATTTTATAGCTTACATTTTAGAATGTTAGTCATAAGACAATGGAACATACAAACTCACCAGTTAATAAAAAGCCTGTTGTGGCAAGGTGAGGTGGTTCATGCCTATAATCCTAGCTCTCTGGGAGGCCAATGTAGGCAGATCGCTTGAGTTCAGGAGTTTGAGACCACCCTGGTCAATATGGCGAAACCCTAGCTCTACCAAAAACACAAAAAGCTAGCTGGGTGTCATGGTGCAGGCCTATATTTCCAGCTACTCGAGAGGCTGAGATGGGAGGATCACTTGAACTTAGGAGGCAGAGGTTGCAGGGAGCCAAGATCGTGCCACTCCACTCCAGCCTGGGTGACAAAAAATTTTAAAAACATAAAAAATAAAAGTCTGTTGAATACAAATTATATGTCTGACAAAGTTGGTTACTGTTCACATGGCTAAACTTTATTTGCCCTTATCAGTAATCCAGTGAAGGCTACTGATAAAAATTTTGAGTAAAACAGTTTTTATAACAGTTTGGTTTTTAACAAGCTGCTTTTTTTTTTTCTTTTTTCAGCTTCAAATGAATTTAGAGTTAAATTTTCAGTGTTTACATTTAGCTATGACTGGTTGAATTAGATGATAAAAACAAAATCTCCAAGTAGCCTTGAATGTATCTTTTGTTTGCTAGTCCAGTTTGTTTGACTGGGAAGGAAAGCATCTTAGCAGTTTTGGTTAGTACAGTGTTGGGTTAGTATAGTATTGGGTTAGTGTAGTATTGGGTTTTCCTTTTTTTTTGGTCCCTGCATGTCACACAAAGCAAGATTTTTATGCCAGACTGAGACATATTACTGCTCTGAGTTTAAGATTTTGACCTGTTTAATCCAAGAGCCTAACTTTTATAAACATTTATCTAGTCCTTTTTTCAAACTATTCATGTTTTAATGAACTGCTTCATCACTCTAATTGTTAGTTAGACAAATCTAAATTTACATTTCTAAAAAATGTCTAGGTTTTTGGTTACCATGGAGCTTTTGTAATTTGTAAAGTGATTGATTTGAATGCCCCTTTTGGCGTTTTTAAGAAAATCTTGGCTGGAATGCCATAAGCAGTGAGCTTATCGCAATACCAGTAGACAAGTCTGCAGATTTGAAGCATATAGACAGAAATAGAGATAGAAAGAGAATTTAGAGGATTCTACATGTTAACTCTATATTGGCAGAGTTTTTTAGAGAGTTCGAATAATGACTATTTGGCTCTGAATTTTCCTTGATGGAATTTGCCCATCCGTTTTAAAATGTGCAAAAAATGGGCCATAGTATGTAATTGGCTGGAATCCCAGAAAATCTGGCATGCCTTAATGCTTGAGAATCCCATTCCATTTCTTTTTGATCTCTCCAGTGCAAAGAAAATCCTGAAAATCTCCTGTCAGGAAAGGTCAGGAGTTTGGACTGGTGCTTTGGACAGAGGCAACTGCCCTAGTGGCTTTTAGTTAGCCATCCTGCCTCCATTATTCAGAAACTTATTTTTACCAGGAGAATATTTTCAGAAACAAGCAAGAGAAAAGAGCCAAATCAATTACAGACACACAAAATCATTGCACACAGAGAACCAAATGATTCACAGAGAACCAAATGAGCTCAATGAACCCAAATCATTGTTCACAGAGATTTTAACCCAAGTGTGCAGCTCAAACAAAATATTTAATTAGGAATGCAGAACTAAAAGTGAATTTGCCAGAAAAGACATGCCTCACAAACAAATGTAAATTATGTAGAAACAAGGATGCTCAAATCAGAAGAACACTTGTCATTATACCAGAAAGAATTTACCAGAAAAGACAAAACATTGTTATCATTTCAGGAGGGATATAAGGTCTTTGGTTACAGTGGCCTTATCTAAATCAGATGCTGAATGATGTCAAGCGCTTCTACCCAAAAGTAGGAGGCTCAGCCTGAAAGAAGACTTAGGGCAGAAAAAGCAAGTCACAGAAACAGAGAGCTCAAAGGGCTCAAGCGACGACTGCACACCAGTTCCAAGAATGGCTGATTTCTTCCAATAGTGGTCCTACTCTAGGTCTACTTCTGGACACCATTTATGTCAACCTGAACAACAGAGTTTCTCTCTAAAAGAAAACAGTACTTATTCAGGAACAGTGCCCGGCACTGGGAATATGTGTGCCTTAGTAATGTGCATAATCAGGGAGGTAACAAAAGACAAAGGCTTTTAAAGGAGAAATGAAGATTACATAATTGGTTTGAGACCATTATTCTTGCCCAAACAGATCAATAGCAAGGGTGACACTAGTTCAAGGCTGGACAGGCAGTTCTTGGGCACATATTCCTGTGGACGTATTTTTTTGTGTTAAGTTTGCAATGGCTTTTGTGCAAGGTTGTGGTTTTTGCAGTCTTTTGTGATATTTTTATTACCAGGCATATAGGCATAAAACTCTCTCTTTGTAGCCTCTCTTAGCCCTATTTTTCATGGATTTTATTTTATTTTTTAACACAAATGACTTCATTTTAGTTCTGACAACTTTCCCGTATGGATGGAGAACTACAGAGAGAAGCATGATGGAAGAGCCTGCCCAGGGCCATACAGTTCATGTTGCAGGGCAGGAAAGCAGACCCAGGCGATCTGCCTGCCCTACCAGGGCCTTCTGCCTCCCTGTGATGGCAGCTGCTGGGAAAGGGGGTACCCAGCCTACCTCCATGAAGGGCATTCAGCTGCCTCCTCTGTGGACCTGTGGCTGCACTGGCTTCCCACCCTGGAGGTTACCGTCTACCTCTCCATACACAGGCCAGCACTGACGTCTCGCAGCGGGGAGCCCCTGCCACAGCTCTGGGCACCTGCATAGATGGCCATTCTGCTCCTGGTTGATGGCTTGTCCAGGAGTAAAAAGAAGCTTATTTTTAAAAATAATTGAGAACAACCTTTAAACCTATTTTCACTATTAGGAAGATACCCCCTGAAAATGTCCCTGGAGTGTTGGCCACTACTGAACACGCCTCCCCTGCACCCCCCACTAGATGGCAGCGTGCCTTCCCTGGCGACTGATGCCAGCCTGGAGGTGCAGGTCAGGGAGAGACTTCCCTCTGTCCTGCATCTGTCCCTGTGGGGAAGCAGGGGCAGAGCCTGGTTCTGGCTTCTGGAAGCACCTGGATGCAATTTTTGACAACCTAAATAACAAACAGTGTCTCTAAACAGAAATGCTATTTATTCAGGACCAGGGCATTGCAATGGAAAACACATGCCAGAGTAAACTATGTGCATATTGAGGGAGGTGAAAAAAAAAAAAGCAAAGAAACAGAAGAGTTTTTACAGGAAAATGAAGAGGATGCCATAATTGTTTTGAAATCATCCTTGGCAAAAATGTCGATACCATGGGTTCTACCAGCCCTAGGTTGGCCAGGTAGTTGCTGGACCCTGGGAAGCCGGGGTCCTGGCAGCCAAGCCCAGTAGGTAGAGAGCTGGATCAAGGCCAGCAGGCAGATGCCCACGCCCTCCCCCACAGTTCAGGAAGTGTGAAGAGGGCCTGGGCTCAGGAGTGAGAAGGTTCCATGTCTACACGTTATAGAACTCTCCTGAGCCCACCACGCTCCCACAAAAAAGAGTAAATAAATACATAAATAAATAAAAATGGGAAAACAAAATTGCAGACTTAAAAAACAAACCCAGTGCCCTCCTAAGGCTTCCTCATCTTGGTAAATTGTGTTGCTGTCCACCTGGTTGTTCTGGTCAAACTCTCAAATGTCATCTTTGACTCCTCCGAGCTTCCTCTTCACATCCATCCCACCAGCAAGTCCTGTTGCCTCCATGTTCAAAATATATCCTGGATCTGCCCAACCTGGACAGATTCACTGCACAATAAATAAAACCCCAACCCCTTTCCAGGGCCCAGGAGGCCCTGCCCCCTGTCCTGGGTCACCTCTTTCCCTCCTTGACAAGGTCAGCGAGTCACTGCCCAGAGCATTGGCACAGGCCACTCTCTCAGCCCCAAGCACCCTTGCCTGGGATCTTTGCCTGGCTGGCTCCTCATCTTTTAAATCTCAGCTGGATTGTCACCTCTTCAGAGAGAATTTATTTTTCATGGAAGTTTACAACACTGTACAAAGTAGCAAGAATTGTACCATGAACTTGAAGAAGCCATCACCTACTTTCATTCATTCTTAACCTGCCCCCACCTGCTTTCCTTGGTACCCTTACCACAGAGTATTTTGAAGCAAATCCCTGGCCTTGCATCATTTCATGCTCTTCTAGACCAGAAATTGTGGCTCTACAAGAGAGGAAAAGTGACGCTAATGAAGCGACTGTCCCTTTCCTCTGGTCCCCTCACCTCCTCTGGTCATGGACATCACAGCATGTTGCACTCTCTGTCATCTGTTTTGTCCTGTTTTTTATTTTGTTTTCTGTGTCCCATGCAATCCCTAAAGGTGAGTCCTTGAGAGCAGGGACTCTGCCTGCCTGTTCCTGTTACACAGCAGAGTGCTGCACAGGGTCTGGGTGTGGCGGGTGCTTGCAGGGGTCTATGCAATAGGAAGGCAGAGCCCACATGCCGGTCCTGGGCCACAGAGTCAGCTCTGCATGCTGAGGACACACATGGGGAGGAACAGTGGACAGACAGGTGCATTGACATTCTTCTCATGTCATTTTCTTTTAGATGAAAAGCCAACCAGTATCGACAATAATTCCATGAATTGCCCTGGGCCAAAACTAGAAAAACCTGGAGAGTAAGTGCCCCTGGCAGGAGGCCCCAGAGGGCAAGAGATCAGGGAGTCAGGGTTGATCACTGTGAGGTGTACAGAATGTGGATGCCACCCCCTGCTGGGGCAGCCCATGTCTGTGGCTGGGCAAAGAGCAGCCTCCTCCCCATATCCCTTGTTGGTGGCCCCAGAGGTATTCAGGGATCTGCAGTGTTCTAGGGTCTGTGAGGAGGGCAGGATGCAGGAGATAATTGCCCAAGGAATGGTACCTTTGCTTCAGGTTGCCTCTCAGAGTTAAGCCAACAGACTCTGTAAATACAGAAGAGCCAGAATGGTGACACCAAGCAGTGGTCCCTGGTCATTTAGGACATGGTCACAATGACTTGAGACCCCATGCAGGGCCCCTCACTGCCTGACCCGCTTACCCTTTGGTCATCATTGCTGAGTTGACCTGCAAGTGTTTGGAGAATGACCTCTCATGACCCATGCTGTCCACTGGCCAAGGGCAAGAACTGCATCTCTCTGGGCTGGGTCTCGCCATCTGCGTTTTCTGTGCTTTAGGGAGTACTTTATTGAAGTCAGCTTGAACAATGGCAAAACATTCTTCAAGAGCAATGTCAGCGTCACCAGCAGCACATGTGTGAGTAGCAGGATGGGGCTGCAAACACGTGTGAGGACTGTCCAGAGCCTCTGCACTAGAAGGAGATATACCCTGGGGAGGACAGAAAGGGCAGGCAGTTCCCAGGCAGTCCCGGAAAGTAGTGTGTGCAGCAGGCAACTGAGGCTGCTCCAACCAGGCTTCCAGATGGTGCAGGTGGGTAAGGCTGGGAGGCTGTCTGCCAGGAGCCAGAGTCCAGCACCTGTAGGCCAGGACCTCAGACCCAGGAGCACTGGAGGATTCCACACACTGCCATCAGGGTGTGTGTGTGCCACTGAACTGGTGCCCCAGCTGCTGATCTGGTCCTGAACCTGCTCATGACCCTGGCCCCCGAGCCTGCCTGGTGGTCGCTTGCTGTCATTTCCCAGATGCCTTCAGCCCCTTTTCTGCCTCTCCTCCTTGCTCAGGCCTCTGAGATGTCCCTCTCTGCTCCCTCACCAAGCCCTGCAGTATGTCCCTTCCTACTGCTGAAGGGAAGGCTCTCAGGCACTGGGACCTGGGCTCAGCTTCAAGAAGCCCCTGGGAATGGAGGTGCTGTGCCCCAGGTGCCTGCTCCTCAGAGCTCCGTGTCTTTGGGCAGCTTGGCCCAGGGCCGCATAGGCAGGAGGATGTGCTGGAGGGACGGGCGGAAGGCCAGAGCCCACTCCACCGCCTTGTACCCAGTCTTACTTGTGAGGACACACCAGTGTTGAGAGCCCTCCCTCTGGGTCTCCCCTTGCCTGTCCCTGTGCATTCACACATGGATCTGCAGGCTGAATGCATGCATTCCCCATCAGGAATCTACTCACTGATGGCCCGACTGTGACAGGCACATCAGGAGCAGCCCTGGGGCTCTCACCTTGCCAGCGGCCTTCATGCTCAGCCTCAGTGTTTCCTCTCCTTCAGCCAGCCGGGTGCCCGGCACAGTCATCTTCCCTCGCCTCCTCTCCTCTCCTCTCCCCTCTCCTCCCCTCCCCTCTCCAGCCTTCTTTCTAAGTAGAGCTCTGGATCTGGGGAAGGCCTGAGCAGCCTGCGTTCCCACGGATGCAGCCCGAGGTTCCTTTATTGTGAAGAACACCCAGAGAAGTGTTCCCGTTGCTTACACCCCAATTGGCCCTGGTTCTGAGCCAGGACTTTGTCTGAGCTCTCTAAACCTCACAAGTGCCCCCAGGAAGGGCGGCTCATTCCCTCTGCACAGGTGTGGAGGCTGAGGCTCAGAGCGGTGCGTGGATGTGCCCACGGTGCAGAGCCTGAAAGTGGGGAGAGAGGCTGTGTGGTATGGACCCGGGTCTCCTGCCCCTGCTCCTGCACCTGCACCTCTCTTGGCCACAGTACCCCCACCCTCACCCGTCTTTGTACCTGTAGATTTTGTGGTTCTCACAGAAGCCCTGTGCTGCAGGCAAAGTGTGCAGTGAGGGTTTTTCAGACCATGGAAGCTTCTGGGACTTTCTTGTCAGGGCTCTGGGGCAAAGACTTTCAGCAGGGCCAGAGAGAGGGTCTGTAGCTCTCTGGGGCCCAGCCCTGGCCGCTGGCCCTACTGTGGTACCCGGATGCGGGGCCAGCTAGGGAGAGTGAGGAGTGGGCAGATGGCTGCCAAGTGGTGGGGACCGGGAAGAGGCCACCCAGGCCCTCCCAGGCCTGGCATTCCTCTATCCCTTAGGTGTGTGGTTCATGGTGCTCTCTTTCTCCACCAGGGCATTTTCAGCAACTGGCTCTATTTTTTGCTGCCTCTGCTGCTTCTGCCACTACTGCTGTGTTGTCTCTGGCGGCTGTGCCGCAAGAAGGCAAGTGCTCCCTGCCTGCTCAGCCTTGGGGCCCAAGCACAGGCCCGCCCTCTGAGGGACTCTAACATGTGACTGCCCCGTGATCCCACCTGTGGGAAGTTTCCCTCAGCTCCCAGCTCATCACGTGAGCCCAGGGAGTGGCAGACCTGTCTACACGTTCCCGGAGCCTAGCAAGCCTGGGCTTCTGCAGGGCCTCCTGCCTGGGCTGGTCACATAGAGCTGGCCTGGGATGCCTTGGACATGGGGCTGAGGCCTGTCCTGGCTCCTAGAGAGAAGTGACCCCAGAACCCCTGAAACCAGGGCTACCTCAACAATCTGGACTTCTGGAAGCCTCAGATGGACAGGGCCAGGAGGTGGCCTCTGTGTGGAGGGAGGAAGAGAGGGTCCCCCATGAAGTCCAGATGGCCCAAATGGAGGACGGTGCTGTAACCCCCAGCTGTCTGTGCCTTGAGGAACCGGCATGGATCTTGGCACATGTCTGGTGCCTTCCCCATTCCTTCATCTGTCTTTACTGAGCTGCAGCTTCCCCTGGGCCCCATGCTGGGCTGGGGAGGGACAGAAATGAAGCGGCCACCATTGCCCACAGGCAGCTCACAGTCCTGTCCTGTCAGGGCTGAAGGTGAAATGTCCACCCCACAGGAGTGGGAAGGGCTCCCTGTAAGGCAGAGCAGGACCCAGAAGCAGAGATGGAGCCTGGGGCAGGGAGGATGGAAGGGGTGCTGGGAGCTGGGGTTGGCAGACCCAGCTCCGAGAGCTGCAGAGGACAGAGCAAAGGGAGGAGAGGACAGAGCTCAGCCCAGGGAACACGCAGGGCTCATGTCTGCATAGGGAGTCACAAGGGGAGGAAGCCGGGAACTCAGCCATGAGGCTGGGAGGTCAGGGAGGGCTCCTGGGGACAGACAGGCTCTCCCTGAGGAAGGGAAGTGGGGCGGACGCTCTCTTCTCCATGTGGCTGTGGGCAGAGAAGGACACTTGTAGGGGCTGGGCCTCTCTAGGGATCTGGTTCCCGGCCCGGCTGACCCCTAGGAACCCCACAGTGGCGGTACGGGGTTCCCCTTGGGTAAGGTTGGAGGCTGAGGCCTGGGAAGAGGAGCCTGCCGGGTACAACTTCACAGGCTCAGTGTGGCCAGAGTGACACCCCAAAGGCAGTGCTCTCTCCTGGTGCTCCAGACCAGGGTCCCAGCTATGTGCAGGGCCAAGGCAGAGCCCGCCCACCCCCATCCAGCTTGGGTTTGTCTCTTTTGAACATTCTAGACTGTCAAGGAGCCACCACCTGTGCAGAAGCCAGAAAAGGTAAGTCACAGTTTTGGTCTCGATATTGTCACATCCCAAGGAGCCCACCGACCTTCACCAAGAGTGCTATGAAGCATGCGCCCCATGACCTCCACCTGCCTGGGCAGAGGAGAAGGTGACAGAGGGGCAGAATGGAGCCTGAGAAGATGGGGAACTCACAGTGATGTCCCCAGCACACCCTTCCCGCTCCCTGCACCCCTTAACATGAGCCTTGTCACCAATTCACAGCCTGGGCCAGTTTCAGCAACTGTGATGACCTGTCCTGAATGAATGGGTCTCTTCTGTCAATGCCCCAAGGACCTTTTGTAAGATGCTAAGGATGGAGGCGCTCTGGAAAAGGAGCCCCGCATTTCAGGGACCTGGCCCTGTCCCCAGGCTCCAGAGGCGGCTGTGGCTCCGTTTGGCCTCTCTGGATCCATGTCTCCTGGCAGGGACAAGGGGCTGCCTGGAGTTAGCCTCTCGGGACTGCAGGGCTGAGGGATGGGGGAGTCCTGGTGGGCACCGAGCTGGGAGGGACACCAGCCCAGTGAGCATAGGGGCCAGGAGTCCGGAAGCAGGTTGTGGCTCACCTGGGTCGGGGACCCACCCCAGGGGCCATGGGCAATGGTGAGTAACTGAGGCAGGAGGCCCTGGGCCTGGGATGGGGTGGAAACAGACCTCCCTGGCCAAGGGTGGCCTCTGCGGTGCTGCAGAGTGGGCTCGGGGAGGCTGCATCTGCAGCCAGATGGATGCGGACAGTCACCTGCAAATGCTGGGACCATTGCACAGCCCCCAGAGCAGACCTCTTTCAACAAGGGCGGCCACAGGAGAACCAAGGGGACAGAGTTGAAGTTGTTGGCATTTATGAGAAGAGCATTGTCTGCCAACTAGGAGGAGTTTGCATGTTTCACACATGAAGGACCCTCCCATGTGGTGTGGGTTTCTCTCTGGTCCTTTCATTCCCCAGACGCACATCTGGGAATGGCCAGCACTGTGCCCCACCAGCACTGTCAGCAGATAGTTGTTTTTCCTTTTTTAGGAGCCAGAGCAGGAGAAACCACCACCTCCACCACCACCATCACCACCACCGCCTCTGCCTCCACCACCTCCGCCCCCACCTCCGCCCCCAGCTCCTGTAAACACCTGCCCCACCGTGATTGTTTGTTGCTGTGCATGCCAAGGAGTGTGCGGGATGAGAGGGATAGAGGTGAGAAGGGCACAGTGGAGAGGGGCTGTGGCCCCAGGCTGGGACTGCAGGAGGAGGGGGCAGCTGGGTCCCACTGTAGAAGCCTGGGCCCTGGAGGAAGGCAGGCTCTATGGGGGCCGGACTTTGGTCACTTGATGCCGGGAGAAACCAGATGCTCACCTCACCTTCACGCCCCAGTGGCAGGCATATATGAGGGCTCCTGTCCCCTGCACCACCAGGTCTGTCCCCGCACATTGAACTCCCTCTCTAGAAGGATCCATGTTTCTGTACAGTGGCAACTTTTGATGTCTGACCAGTCCCTGGTTCCCACAGGGGTACCTCAGCTCTGGCAGTGGCCCGGGGCTTTAAACCACCTGTCTGCAGGTGCATGGGTCAAGCAACCTGAGTCACAAAAAGTCATGTAGATCAGAAAAAAAAATAGAAATGACCAGTCCTGACACATGTTCTCACCACCACGAACACTGCAAGGATGCCAGGGGCACCTGTCAGCTCGGGCAGCAGGATCTTCAGGCAGTGAGGAAAAGCTGTCCCTGAGTGGGCTTGTCGCCTGCTGAGATGGGCTGACAGGCACTGCAGGGAGGGGGGGGAGGTGGAGACCTGAAAGCGCCCTCACAAGACACCTGTGCAGGAGCTCGAGCCCCGGAGCCAACACGACAGCCACTCTCCCTGAGGACACCTCCTTCACGGGCGGGTACAGGCCCATCATGCTGAGGGGAACCCAGCCAGGCAGCAGCAGGGGCCCTGCACAGGGGTAGAGAGGGCGCCTGGGTGGCTGGTGTTGAGGTGGAAGGACCCCAGAGTTCCTGCCTGGTCTGCCCCTCTCCCCCTTGGTCCTGGCTCTGTCTGTGGTCAGATCTCTTGCTTCCTCCTGGGAGTGTCAGGTTCCTCTGCAGCTTCAGTGGGTATCTGGGGAAGCCAGACCTGTCTCTCCCTGGAGTGTGGGGCACAGAGAAGCCGAAACACAGCCTCCGGTGAGAGGAAGTCACCTGCCAGCGGCCTGCAGTGCCTTGCAACACACGGCCCTCATCCCATCCCCACCAGGGCCCAGAAAGGCCTGACTGCAGCACCAAGGGCTGCCCATTATGGGTCCTGGGCTGTTTTCTGGCCTGTTTTTTCTCTGTCTTCCTCTTCCTCTCTTTTCTGGTGTCAGGTACCTACTCCCTGAGCAGGGCATGGTCCTCTCACCTGCCTTCCCCTGTGTGCCCCCAGCAGCAAGACTCCTCCTCCCTCCTGCCCAGGCCCCGTACCCAACTCATGCTCCCCTTCAGGACCTCTGCTCGGAACCACAGGCTCCTCCTGCCTTTGGACTTTTTGTCTGAATCTGCCCCTGTCGTTTTCTCTTCCTTCAGCAAAATACTGTTTTGTTCTAGATTCCAAAACTCTCTGTGGCCACAGTGACCATGTCCCCAACACACAAGGCTGCCAGGCCCCTCCCTGAGGGGGAGATGGAAGCTTTGTCTGGGTGTGTTCCAGGGGACAGATCATGGGGGGCTGGGGAGTCCTGATGCCTTCTGGAGGTAGTGTCCAGCCTGCATGGCTTCCTCATGGCCACGTTGCTTTTCAGGGCAATCTGGATACCTTTTGTGACCTCTCTCACCCAAGCTGCTGCCAGGTGCCATGGATGTGGTGTCAGCGCAGGGACCAGGTGAGCAGGGGTGCAGGGACACACTTGATGGACAGAAGGCCACTGCTTTTCCCCTGACCGCTGTCCTCTGGGATTGTGGCTCAGAGAGCCATGTCAGGCGTCTGGCAAGGAGGACGGCACAAGACACACAGAAACGGTGCCTGTGGGCATCCCAGCCAGTTTCTGGACATGGGAGCCGAGCACTTCGTTTGTTCATCACCTGGGGCCAGGAGTGCTGGCTAGGATGGCTAACGGGGTTGTTGGGCAACACTGACTGGTTCTAATAGGCAATAAGGATTCCTTCCTTGGGTCATTGCCTTGGGACCATGGGGAGGACCAAATTGTTAAGATTTTCTCTTCGTAACTTATTATGAATGAGGACTAAAAATTTTTTATGAGGCCTCAGTAATGTATGGAGTCCTCCCGTGGGCCAGTTGCTACCCTAGGCCACGCTTTCACTGTTTTCATCCTCCCAGCAACTGTACCAGTAGGTGCTATTAGTATCCACTTTACTGAAGGGGACGGAAGTGCTGAGAGATTAAGTGGCACGTCCCTGCTCCTAAAGTCCGTGAGTGATAGGGCTGGATGTGCACTGGGCCTGGCTCCTGCCCTTACTCTGCACTGCTCTCCTTTTGGATCAGCACTAAGGGGCTTCTCCGCTCAGGCCCCGGGGCCCTGGAGAGCCCTGCTCCTGGCTCGGCCTGGGGCTCATTTGCCTGTGCCTCCACAGTCCAGCCCTTTGCACCTGGAAGATGATCTCATCCCCAGGGTTTATAGAGGGACCTGCACTGGCCAGACCTCCCGCATCAGGCCAGCACAGGCTCTCAGTGGCCAGGTGGCTGCGCACTGAGAAGGCCTTGCAGGCTGCAAGCCTCTGGACGCTGCTGATGAGAAACGGGCCAGGAGCCCCCGGGAGGCGTGCTGACACCTGGCAGGGCATCGCCGGTGTCAGAGGCATGCAGGGCTCCTCCAGCCGCTGGGCTCCCGGCTCTGTGCCTCTGCACAGGGCTCTCAATCTCAGCCACGCTTGCACAGAAGCTCATTTCTGTCTGAGGTCCCACGAGGCCTCTCCACATTGACACAGCCCAGTTCCAGTCACACAGCACTAGTCCAGCCTAATGCCCGGAACAGGTGAGACACTTAGGTGGGAGGGATAGAGCTTGATGGCTGAGTGTGAAAACAGGCACCTCAAGCAGAGGGAAGGCAAGAGATGGGAGGGTGGGCATGGGAAAGGGCCAGAAATGGCCTTACTGTCCAGTGTGGTGACACAGGGGATGGAGCAAGTCTCTGGAATTGTCTCATTCCCGAGGGCAGCTCTTTGAAGCTAAGGTTTAGGGGTGGGGTGGTGGGGGGCAGAGTAATTGCATCACAGAGGGCACTTACCACTGCTCAGGGCTCTGCCAGGCTGCCACTGTCATCGTGTGAAGTCCACCTTGCAATTCTTGGAAAAGGAGAGACAATCCCTGTTTTACTAATGGCAAAATAGAGGCCCAGAAAGTTGCCTAAGGCCACCCAGATAGTAAGTGGTTGCCTCCAGCGCTATCAGAAATCAACCCCATATCTGTCCCTAACCCAGGGAAGCCCATAGCTATGCCTTGTGGACCTGGGCTCCTTCTAGCTTCTCTGCCACAACCTAATTCGACCTTGTCCTTCCCAACTTTAGTCCTGAACACCCAACTGAGTGTCTTGTAAGATTTCTGTCAGGTACCCAAGAATTCGGACAATCTGGCAGGAGTTCCCGGTTCTCCTCTTTAAGCCTTCCGTGTGCTGGCCCCAGGGTCTAACGTGAGTCATGCACTAAAGAGAATGCGTCCCCCTGAGACCTGCAGCCCGTTTCAGAGCCACAGGGTCGGCCTGTAAGCCTAGTCCTGAGTGTACAGAGCCAGACACCAGCCAGGCTGCTGGCGAGCTCAGCAGCTTCCTGCTTGGAGACACTGGGAATGTGACCTTCCTGCCTGAGCCAGGGGGTCCCTGAGTGAGAAGGAGCCCTGAGGCTGGAGGAGAGAGAGTGCATCTCAGGGAGAAACCGCTGGAGACCAGACTTGGGTGGGTGGCTTGGCCCCAGCCAGGCAGCCCAACTGCAACTGCAGGGCTGTCCTGCCCAGGACAGGCGTAGGCTGTCTGTCTCTTCACGGCAGAGTGAAGAGGCCACCTGTGTGCTGCGCACCCCTCTTCCAGGATCTCCCCTCAGACAGAGACTCACTCAGGCCCTCAGCAGTGTGGCGGATCCTGAGAGAACCAGTGCATGCCTCTTTCTCCGTCCATGCCCCGGCCTTGTGGGGAGGCTGTTTCCAAACTCCTCTTCCTGACTTGGCATTGTGGGCTGACCTGGGGGTGTGATGAGCTCGGGACATTGATGAGCATCCACAGGATAAGGTGAAGGAGAATCGTCAGCATGGGTGGGAGGCAGAGTTTGATTCAAGAGCCTCGGAGTCTTGCTGCTGCATTTTGTATGAGTGTGCTGTTGAATTTAGAGGAGATGCTGCCCTTTAAAACCTTGTTTAGTTGCTGGTTTCGGCAAACCCAAACATCTTTGCATTTCGGCACATAATAATGCAGAAAATTCTCAAAGGCTCAGTTTACCAAAAACCTCAGCATTTTTTTTTTTTTTTGTGGCAAAAGCAGTCAGTCTTGTTTGCTTTCAATTTTTTTTGTTGTTGTTTTTAAATTGAGTGTGTCTCTCTGGTTTATCACCTTCAGTTCCTTGAATAAATTTTTTGATAGTGTCCTCTTCCAGGCCATCCCCACTACACACTCATACAAAATGCAGCAGCAAGACTCCGAGGCTCTTGAATCAAACTCTACCTCCCATCCATGCTGACGATCCTCCTTCACCTTATCCTGTGGATGCTCATTATGTTAATGGGAAACAGTATTGCTAGATCCATCAGGAAAGTCAAGCTAATAACGTGAAACCTTACCCTCTGTCACCAAATGTAGTGCCCACAATGATATAACAGCCTTTCCAGTGAGTTTAATTCGTGTGCGCACCACAGCAGGAAGCCCTTTAGAAACTGGATCTCATTTCATTCTCACAATACCCAGAGGACTCATAGCTGCCATTCATACCCAATCTTAAGGTGAGCCAGACACTGTTGCAAGTATATTCCACAAACTAACATATGCCATAACTCTATTGCGGGGAGGAAGCTAGAGGCCCTACAAAGTTAGGTAACCTACCCAGGGTCACACAACCAGGAAGCAATAGGACAAGCATCCAACAGCCTGGCTCCAGGTCCTTACTGTGTGCATGGCCACCTCTCTGTCCTGCAAGGTAGTCACTACTGTCTGCATTTCACAGCTGTGGACACCGAGGCTTTGATGTTTGGTGATAGGCTCAACATGGCAGGATCATTGAGTGGTAGAGCCGGGCTATGAACTGACCCAAGGGGAGGCTCATGTCTGAGTCGGGTTCCACCCCATGTCCTGCTGTCAGAGTGATCTATGGAAATACCAGCAAGTGCATCTCTCTCTTCAGTGCAAAATGTCACATAGAAGGTCCTCAAATAACATTTCATTCAATGTCATCTGAACACTGAGTGAGAAATGATGATGCTGATCAGAAAAAAAATCCATTCCCGGCTGAGGTCAATGTCTGTGTGGAGTTTGCATGTTGTTCCCATGGCTGCAGGGAATTTTTCTGGGTACTTCAGTTTCCGCTTACATCCCACAGATGTGCACATCAGGTGGACTGACATGTCTCTATGGGCTCAGTGTGAGTGTGTGGGTGTGTGAGTGCACGTGCAAGGACATGACATCCTGTCCAGGGTTAGTTCCCACCTTGCACCCTGAGCTGATGGGATAGGCTCCAGCCTCCTGCGACCCTAAGCTGGAATAACTGAGTAAATAATTATGTTATTTGCTTTTATTAACTTTTCTTAAAGGTATGTATAGCTCACATTTATGTCAATGTTTAATATTAGAAGCATTTTGGTTTTTATTTAGAAGTTTGATGATGTCTTCATGACTAGATATATGCCACAGGATCTTAAATTTCTAGTATCAATTAATCTATGATCCAGTTGGTTTTCTTGTACCCTGTTTCACTGGAAGTCATGATTTCTAAGAAACTATCGACAGCTTCTGATGAGGATTTACTGAAATTTACACATGATACATTTGTGAATATTAATATCTTGATATCACACTGTCACTTGCAGACCTCCTTCTAAATTCGTGCTCACGTTTGCTGGGAGAGTTGTTCTGGGTAACAATTGGAGCTTAATGCAGACGGGCCTTAGGATGCATTCATGACCATGGAGCTCCTGAGTTCTCCTCCTGATCATGTGCCCATGGAGGGTGCTAGACCAAGGGACGGGCGTGGCAAAGCCTGGCTGGCTGTGGCCTCCAACTGTCCAGGAATCCCAGCTTGCAGCCGTTCTTGAAGCCAGTGCTTTTTGGGAAAGTTTCAGATCATAACTTTGGTATTGCAATTACAGCAAGCTTTCCTTCAACTCCTCAGCACCACCCCCCACCCCAACACACACACACACACACACACACACACACACACACACACACACACACACACTTCTGTAACATAATCAGGAAATCCAAAGATTGAGCCAAAACTCCAAAGCACTGGCAATTAAGGTTTCTGATTGTTTGCCAATCACTTCAGGAAATGTCCCTTCACCTTAGAGTGGTTGAGCTGATGTGAGAAGTGATCAGTTGCTGGCTTAGATATCTGCAATCAGTAGAGAGGCAGTGAGGAAGGAGACCCTCTCAAACTCCAGGAACCTCCTCATCGCCTTACACTTACCCCACGGATTCAGGGGGCAGCCACCTGGAGGTCTCCTCTACTGTGAGGCACCCAACCCTGCTCCTCTCCATCAGTACAAGTGCAGACCCATACCTTAGCACTCCCTGTATCTCCTGGGATAGGCTGGGGCAGAGGAGAGGAGGTGGCCTCAGTGTTAGTGCCCTGGGTCCTGCTCCGGAGGAAATCAAGGGGATCCCTCAGCAGTGGGTAAACACTAGGTCTGGAATTATTGTGGTTAAGTTTTTACTGGAATGTTTTG